CAGAACTGTAGCTCAAAAAAAAAAGAAAAAGCTAAGAACAACTGCTGCAATTCTGCACCTAAGTGACGGGGAATATAGTTAAACATCTATGTCAAGTCATCCGTGGTTGGCTACACTTATATTTAGACATCTTTACCAAGCCACTATATTAGTATATTACATTTTTCTGCACACTGCAGCAGGATGACAGCGTTCTTCATACTTAATTGCCTTCCCACCGCATAACAAAGGAGAAAATGCTAGGTCCCAGGCTTAGCGTATCTGTCATTGTGTTGCTTGGAGTTTTCAACATAGTTTAACAGTTGGCTGCATCAGGGATTTAGTTCTGGGAATTATTTTGTCAGATATTATTTCAGGTCCAGAGCTACATTCTTGAAATGTGTCAATTTATCCCCACATTGATCACACCACTCAGTCCACCACTGGGGTCTGTAAAGCCTTCTTCAAGCAGCTTTGGAAAAGGGAATGCTTGCAATAAAACACTGCAGACGTGAGCATGGTGAAGCCAGTTGTACCAGCTTGTATTTGCATTCAGTTTACACACGACTGTTTTAGCTAACAGCAGTGATGTAAAGAAGGTTCTGCCATCACTGAAATTGATCAATTACAGTAATTAAAAGTAGATTATACTTAAAATTCCATGCCTTACGATGTCCTGCTCAGATCACTGAATTCTAAAGGCCACTGGGTCATGTAGTCTTACATTATTAAACAAGAGACACAGAATTTCAGAGCTTTATCTCATTTAAATATCTGCTTCCACTTTCAGCCAGTAGCTCACGAAAATTAATTGTTGCAGAAAAGATGGTCTTGTATACAACTAATTTGAAAACTATTTGTTTGGCTATCCCAGCATCCCACTCCACTCTTTGCAGTTCTTGCCATGTCATTCTAGAGCCACACCTTTGGCAGAATTGAGCTAAATCTTCAAGATCTCCTTTTGTTACGATCTCAGAAATTCATGAAACTAGGTGAAAACTGGCAGGAAAAAAAAAACAAAAAACTGAGCACATCAAGTGCACCAGGATCTTCCAAACATCCAAATGGGTACTTTGAGGAGGTAGATTGCCTACAAAAGCTCATCCACCCACTTAGTCTTGAGGCTGTTCTCTGTACTAAATTTCAGAAACTCAAACGCAGCTCTCAACAGCAGCATGATGAAGAGCTCTTATCTGAGCGTGGGCACCGGGGGTGTTTCCAGCTGCAGGGAATTCTCCCATTTGCAAGGCTCCAAACATCTCCAAAATACCCCATGTTCCTTTGAAAATAAATCCACACATCTCCTCCCAAAAGGAACTAAAGCATGGCTTGACCAAGCTATCTGAACAAGCAAAAGGACCGGTGTCATTGGGCACATTGTAAATCCATCTGCTGCAGATTCAGCCCAAGACTCCATGCAATGGGATTAGACTTCAAATTTCTACAGGCTTTTAATCAGGCTACTAACAATAGGAATTACACATAACCAAAATCTTTGGGTCTACATGGAAATCGCAACAAGAACAAAAAATACAGCCCAGTTTCAGGGGCTCTGAGTCATACCTCCCGTTTTCGTTACACCTAGAAAACTAGCTGGGTTTCTCACCCTGTTTAGTACTGTCCCTTCTTACACTGCTACGTATGAATGATTTTCTGTATGGCTTTGCTTTAGCCAGAATGTATTTCAGTGCAAGTAATATTTCCCAATTAGAAAAGATGCCATGCATGAGGTTTCTGGGACAATCTCATCCTACCAATTTTCTTAAATAAGGCAAGTATTCCACTAAGGATGCCACTTTCCTCTCTCCCACATTATTTTTCTTCAACCTATTTTACCTTGTTTTTCTACCCTCTCAATACCGTTTAGCCACTTAATTCCTCATCCATCACATCAATTTAGATCACTCTGAGCTGTGCAAGGCATCTCTCTCTCATTACCTTGCCTTTTCCCCACATTCTCATAAATCCCTGAGAGCAGAATGTAACAGCCTGGCTCCAGCAATGGGAACCTACACCTCTAAATCTGCATCAAATCAACTTAATTCCCCCAATTCTCAATTTGTGTTTCATAATCCTTTTCATCACATCCACCTACTGAAGCTCTACGTCCACTCAACAGCAAAGCAACTTTGATTTACAGTCATGCTTTTTCAGGTTGGAATATCACAAGACTGCAGCTTTGCCACAGTGTTTGTAATGAAAAAGGCACTGTTCCTACTCTGGCCAAGGTCGTATTTGTATTTTGGTGAGGTACTGGAACAGGCTGCCCAGGGAGATGATACAGTCACCATCTCTGGACATTTTCAAGAACAGGTAGATAACGCACTAAGTAACATGGTCTGGAGCAGTTACAGGCATAGGCTGCTGGCTGGACTACATGTTCTTATTGGTCTTTCCAACCTTAATGATTCTATGATTCTACCTGGAGAACTCCAGTCCTCAGCAAGGAAGCTTACATTACCATTATCGGTTGGACTGGATGATCTTAGAGATCTTTGCTAACCTTCGTGATTCTATGATTTTCCATATTTCTTTGGTAAAGCTTTCTATTCCTTTCCTTAATTATAACTTCATAAAACACCATCAAGTGCATACAACATTTTGTTATTGACTCAGCCTCTGCATAAGAAACTTCCAAGCACCTATAAGAGCAGAGGCTAGCAAACACATACCCTGAAGTAGATGGCACTGAAATGGCAGCTTGTATTTTATTATGCCTGGGCTAAAACCAAATCCACATGCACTGAACATAGAGCCACAAACCTCACCTTCCTTGCCACATTATTCCTTATGCATCCCAGACCTGCTCATGGGGAGGGGAAGAAGCTGCCTGCACTGCACTCCCACCCACCTACAGAATCCTTTAGTAACTAATAAAAGCACTTCTGATGTCTTATGTGAAAAAAACCAGCAGTGGCTGGAGGTGGGACACACAAGGGGAGCAAATCTGGAAAGGAATCCTTCACTCTGCTGGCTTTCAGGGCAATTCACTCTAATTTGCGTCCACATCAAGAATCCAAAGAGCAACAGCATCTTTACCACTAAGCTTCAATTTCCTACCAACTTCTCTGGAAATGCAACAACCACAAATTTAATGATAAAGAGAAATTCCTTTACCCAACATACAGCATCAAGATAAAGAGCAAAAATCTACCAGAAAGAAGAGCTAGAAGATCTTATCCCTCTTCCACTCGCCTTAAGGAAGAAACACTCACTTTCTAATGAGAAACACTCTCCTTTCAATCAATCAGGATATTTCTTCCAAATTAAGGTTATCGATTTATTTCTTTTTGAAATAGTGTTCAAGCACATTGCTGCTACAGGGCGAAGAATTTAAGTCCCAGAGAAGAAAACATTGAAAAAGAATGTTAAATGTGAAATGAATATGAAGTGCAGAGTAACTGGAGCCACACGGAACACACCAACCAGCTTAAAGGACGTACACATCACAAACAAAGACATATGATCAGAGAAAAGGGAAAATGCAGACCCAGGGAGGAAGACTGCCTGTTTACATACCTGTTTTCAAAATCACTTCTTTGCAGGTGACAGAGAAAGCATGGGTTGGAAAGGGTTTGAAATTAAGTACAGGAGTACTTACACCCAAGGGTCTGCTGGAGGTCTGTAATGCATTATTTCACAAGACAGAAATGCTGCCACTGGTTCTTTTGCTAAAAAGGAGCTGGTATTGCATTTGTCTGAAGGTAAATCATATCATGAACTGCAGTGATCCTAGAGCTGCTACCTTTTTACTGTTACTACATTTTAGTTAAAGTTTGCCACTGTAAGTGTGCCTCACTTATAAAGCACTGTGCCAACAATTCTTTGCTGTCATAAGCACTGCAGATGGTTTACCTCCCATGTATACATTAGAGGAAGAGCTTAAGCTCTTCAGTTGTTTAAATCTGCATGGCTTGGGCACAGAAATTTTCTGTTTGTTTTACATATTAAAACATAAAAATCTGAAAGCAACACTGAATTTTTATAAAAATCCAACTCCTCTTTTCTGAAACTGTTCTGGTAAAAAGCTGTGTATTTACAACCTTGATAATGCCACCTCCTTACACAGCCTGACTGTACAACCTGATTCCAGACGGGCAGCCTTCATACGATCTTGAATTTAAGCACTAAGTATTATCACTTCTGTCATATTCTCTATAAATAAAATGGAACAATGTCAGAAGAAGATACACAGCCCAGAGACAGGGATGGAATTTTAAGGGCACCACAAAAGTCTGCATTCAACAATATAAACTGGGATTTCTTAAAGTGAGGATACATAAATGCAGATTTTTTTTAGGAATTGAAAAAACAAAGTGTTGTAAGAAAAAAAGTGTTAAAATGTTTAAAAAAAAAAACCAAACAGTCTTTTTCATCTGTTTGTGGTCCTAAAGATAAAAGGCTCTAGAGAAAAATTAAAACACATCCTAATGCCATTATAGTTGCATTTTAATAATGAATTTTCTCTGCATTGACTTGTGTCTGTATTATTTGTCCTGGTTATTCCTTGTTCTCTCTGTTATCTTAGGCTTCAAGCTCGACTTACTAAACGTTAATACATTCAGCAGTTAAAAAGCATTAATTCAGTGTCCCTTTAAGATATGTATGTTCTCTCTCCTCAAACAGTTTCTAAAATTCCAGCACTAAGTTAAGAAATGTTTTTAATAAAAGGGAGATAAACTTCCTTCTCAATCAGTCATTGAAAAACACAACACAAGAAAATTACAGTATTGTCTGCAGGATTTTAAAAATGCTCACTCAGAGGCATTTGCCTCTGAGTTTCAGCCACAGCAGAAAGAGAATTTTGATTATTTACATAAAGCTGCGTTAGGCTGTCCTGCAACAGATGAGGAACTCATAACGCAAGCTCTGGGTCTGATCTGAAATGGGAGGCCTAATGCCATTCCTGCATGTTTGCACAGGCCTATGTTGCCTGTTACTGCTGCCAGACGGAGGGAAGCAGACCCCTAAATTAATTCCTAATTAAAACACTTATTTAGCGGTGGACTACAACAGCTTACCTCATCCACATTCTCAAAGGCATTGATGATGTCATACGGTAAACAGGACAGAAGATCAATCACAAACCACGTCTTCAGGTAGTTCATCCTTATGAGTTTGGGATCAGATATAACCTCTCCACCAGGGCCAACAAAGGTTGTATGAAAGTTCAAAACAATGTCAACCAGAAAAATAACATCCACGACACTGTCCAGCACAAGCCAGGCAATGTTGTTCTGCTTCGTCTTGAAGGAGACGTTATATGGAACCATAATTGCTGTGTAGAAGGTTAGAATCAAGATGACCCAGTCCCAAGTGGTCTTAAAAGCACAATAATGTAGTATAATGTGCGGTGGAGTCTTTGGGGCTTCTTGCTTGTACTGAGGAAGAATATCAGATCCCAGCTGGAGAACCTGTAAGAGGAGAAAAAAAAAACAAAACGCTACTGTTTTCAATTAACGTGATCCAATTAGGGATTTCACAGATTTCTGTAAGGAGAAGCACAAAGACAGGACTGTATTCATTGGACATTCCAAGACAACCCACAGTTTCTACATTATTTGATTTATTTACCCAGCAAGCATGTTGGTGCATAAGTCACATTAAGAAAGAATAGAGATAGCTATAAGGAGGGCACACGAGGATAACCTTGCATAAAGGCAGGTCTCTGCAGATGTACTCATGGGAAACCAAGCCTATAGCAAGGGCAGAAAAGCTCTATGCCAACAGGTCATGGGCACCATGGCATGGGCTCATGCCCTGCAGTTACAAAGGTGAAGTATTCATTCACACTTGGAGGTTTAACAAGATTAATCCTTCATATCTGGTCTCTGTTTTAAACCACTGTTCAGCCACAGCAATGCCCTATCTAGCCACACATCAGCCTTGCAGGCTGACCTCTTTCTAAAATAACACACACAACTTCTGCCCTAACTCCGTGGTAATACCATGCCTCCTGTCTATCTATTTTCTTCAAAAAGTTGTTGCCTTTACAAGCTCAATAACATCAGTGGGTTCTCTTTTATTTCTTGTAATTACTTCTCTTTTTTTTTTTTTTCCATGTGACTATAACCACCTCTGTGCTCATTTCTGTAAATTGTGGAACTCGAAACACTGCAAAGGAACCAAGCCAAATTCAGTCAAGACATTCTTCTCAGCTGATCTAATTACTTCTTATCTCAGTCCAACACAAAGGAACATACAGCATGGTAATACACTGTGCTGACAACTGAAAGATTCATGTGTATTTTGGAACTAATCACACCTTTCCACTTTGGGGGGGTCTCAAGTATGCACAGGATAAAATAAGCAATTCCAGCAATCTTAAACTCATTTCAGCTCTGTGACTGCCCCATACTAATCCACCATATTTGCAGGACAGTTAGATTGCAAATAGCAGCCTCATATGCCTAAAAGCAATCAAATGCAGAATGGGCGCTCAGTGAAGAGGAGTGAATGGTTCTGAATAAACAGCACAACTAAGAATACGAACTGCAGCGTTCCAGATACAGATTCTCCATTAATTCTTTACAGCATTATTTTTAAGACGAAAAAAATTGTTACTGAGATCAGCAAGAGAAAACCTGGCTCAACTGAAAAACCTCTTCTCCAGAAATCACTAAGGGATAACAGCAGCAGCCTCTCTCGCTCTGTGGAGGATGGTGTGGTTTCCCAATATGTCTGATCTGGCTTAGTGTCATTCGGTAAGCTGGGGTGCAAACCTCCCTGTGCCTACCTGTTCCCACCGTTCCTTAATGTCAGATTTAGCAGTCATATCATTTAAGGAAAACGAGCTAAGCTGATATAATGAAAAATTAACTTCCTGTTACACTAGCGACCCATTTGTTTTCTACAGAATTAGCCTAAATTGAATAAATCTATCCTGTGGTCAGAAAACCACTAGACATAAAACATGGGAAGCGGCAAGAGTGCAGCAGAGACCTCCAGGAGACCACAACTGCCCCTCTGCCATCAGCTCAGACGTAACACAAAGCCATGCGCTGAGCTCCAGCCAACCAACAACGCAATGCCAAGCAGCCCAGATCCAGAGGGGCTCACCAGAGACCCTTACAGACACAAAGCCCCTGGAGAGACCCACAAACATATCAACCTCCATCCTTCCCAGTGTGCAATTCAAAACTCACATGCAGCACTCCTGTATCTAACCCAACAGGCATGGGGAACTCACTCGTGGATCCATGCATCCTTTCTCAGGCTAAAGCAATGCATTCCCCCAACACACTCAACCAGTGCTCTTTTCTCTTCCCATGAAACTTTCTTCAATGCCAAAATGCCAAAACACCATTTTGGCTTTGACTTAAACTGAAGATTATCTCCAATTATATCCTCTTTCTGGCCTCACTTGTGGACAAGATTTTCACACTTCACTATCACAATACATCAGGACAGGGACTACTTTCCATGGTTTCTCCAGATCTGTTTGTTTCCTGTCTCATTCAGTGAGGCAGGAGTTGGAAACAGTAACTCACTATAAATTGAATAATAATTTTCCTTGGACTCAGGATGAATGTGATGAACATATGCTTGATAGTTCCCTATGCCTCTGGTGGTAGAGTGCTTAGAAGATCCCATGGTACAATAAAGGCATAATTATTATTCTTAGCACAATAGCATGCTGATTTTGACATGGTGTGTGGGTGGCAAGTGGCTGAGGAGACTACTGAACTATAATGATTATTTATTTCATGCTGCGTGAATTTTTAATTTTAAACCACTAAAGAATATACAGTATCTTGTTAGTCAATTCCATTCATCACAGACACTGAATGGTTCTTGCTTACAACTAACTAATATGACTGATAAGAGGCAAAGCCAGTAAGGTGGGCAGTACCTTCTGCCAGGGGTGAGCTGTGAGGAAAATGCACCTCCTCAGATACAGAAGTATGGGAAATGGTGCCTGAACGGCGATGGCACATCTCTACCTGGGAAAAGCAACCCACTCTGCATTCCTGGCACACTCTGCCTCTAAAGCATTCTGAAGCTGCAAAATCTTGTAAGAGAGGAGACTGTGCACTCCCCCCAAAACCTATTCCCACAAACAACCTTCACCTTCACTTGAGCTTTTCCTGTTGCATGTCCTAAATCCCCTGTTGCAACTTCAATTAGTTTTTCCTCTAGCTACAGTGGGCATGGTGAACCATTTCCTGTTCCATGCAACTGCTTTAGACATGTTTGAATATAGCTACCATACCTTCTCCAATCTTTTTCCAGACAAAAGCACTCAGAAATATAACCAGATTTACAGAACTTGGAAATGTCATCAATTAGAAAAACAAGTGAGAATCATTCAGCAGTCAGCAAAGCTACTGGTATGGGATAATTCTTGAAAAACATCATGCTGCCAGCACCTTGAAAATTGTAGGCTTCCATTCTGATTTCATTCCACGTAAAGCTTGTGATACACAAGTCCACTTAGACAAGAAAGGAAAAACAAGACAACAACAATGAAAAAAGCATTTAAAACTGCTGTGAATTCTTAGCACCAAACTGAGGACAATCTCTCAGGCATGAGGGGGATAGGGCTGTCACATTTAGTAGCCCGTATATTTTGACCACATTTTTTACCCATATAATTTTCATTACCAATGACATGAAGATGAAAGCAGTACCTCTGTTTCATCAGTTAACCTGAAGGCTTTCACTTGTTGCACCATCTGCACTGTTAAGGAGATGTTTGCAACCTGCCAAAGAGTTCATTTCATCAGTTCTGAAGAAGAAAATTATTAGCAAAATACTTCAGGAATGACTTTTTCCAAGAAAGTTGAGCTTAAAGGTATATGTACAGTCAGTGTGCCTGTACAACCCCATGGATCTAGGCGGGGATGCTTCCAAAGAAGAGTACCTGGCTTCTCGAACAACCCCACTTGCCCAGAAGTGGGCACTCACAATGGTTTCTGACCCTTCATGGGACTCAGAAACACAGAGTCTGGTTCCATGCTGCTGTGAGACAGCAAGTTGAAGACCGAACTGCATCCCAAGCTAAGCAGCAATCAGCAAACTTGGAGCTGCATTCAGAAATTAGACCTTGTAAGAGTGACCAAGAGATTGTTGCCATGACTGTCTCCCTCTACTCTGCCCTCATGAAGCCCCCGTCTGGAATACTGCATCCAGACCTAGGGTCCCCAGCATAAGAAGGATGCAGAGCTGTTGGAGTGTAACCAGAGAAAGAATATGAAGATGATCAGAGGACTGGAGCACCTCTTCTGTGAAGAAAGGCCAAGGGAGCTGGGCTTGTTCAGGTTGGAGAAGAGAAGGCTCCAGGGAGACCTCATTGTGGTCTTCTTGTACCTAAACAGATCTTATATACAGGAGGGAGACTGACTTGCTATGTAGTCTGGAAGTGAAAGGAAAATGAGGAACCATTTTAAACTGAAAGAGGGGAGATACAGACATTTGGAGGAGACTGTTTACTCACAGGGCAGTGAGGCCCTGGCAGTGCAGCCCACAGAGATGTGGGCACCCCATCCCTGGAGGTGCCCAGTGCCAGGCTGGATGAGGTCCTGGGCAGCGTGAGCTGGTGGAAGGCAACCAACTCACAGAAGGGGATTGGGTGGCTCTAATGCCTATTCTAGCCCAAGCCATCAGATGACTGAAAGAGCATGACTTGTCCTGGAAATATACACTTGGCACACAGTGCTTATTAAGGAAGAGGAGAGCAGAGGCCGAAAAATCAGAATCTGGAAACATCACCCTAAAAATATTATTTATTAACAGAAATGTTGTTCCTCCTCCCTCTCTCATCTCTTCCTGCCTAAAGAAGGAATGTGTCTGTCCCACTTACTTCAGCCAGGCGGGAATGCTTGTGCACCACCTCAGCTTTGTTCATCGGCGTCAGCTGCTGCAGCACGCTCCGGCTGTTCGTCAGGGCCCGCGTCAACCGTGCAAACTTCGTCCAGCCTGCAGGGAAGAAGAAAATACGGTTACAAGCACTTACACCCCATTCAACATGAGTAAATCTCCTATGCGTTCACTGATATTAAGTCTCAGACTTGGGTAGTTTCTCTAAATTGCTGCACAGAGCAAGTTCTGGCTCCAGGCTCCACAACGTTGCAGAAGAGGAAGAATACCACTGCTTCAAGGCAAACATAAGTAAACCTGAGTAAAATCAAAATGCTCTGGCTTGTTCTCTCTTCTCGCTTTTGGAGACACTGTGATAGAGGAATCGCACTGCGCTTTCAGCCTTCTGGGGAGTTACTCGGTTGCTACAAACTGATTATTAAGCACTGAATTTACCACATCTGTAAACCCTGGAGAAGTGAAATCCTCCCCAGCCACCAACTGGTGCATTCCTCCAGCCAGAAGCTGGATCCTTAAGTTGTTACTGCTCCTTGATCTGATTATTGATACAATTCAGGGACATAATAAATAAAAAATTAAAAAAAAAAAAATCTGCAAAATCTACTTTGAAAACATGTTTCAAAGTAGAAAAACTGTAAGACTTTACGGACAGATGAAGCACTAGATTTTAAATTGCACTAAGCAATACATTTAGCTGTTAAACTAATGATAAACAGCTGCTCTAATGGTAGCTTGAGACCTTCACACTGGCGAATGTTTTTCTGCAGAGTTCAGAAAGGAGCAATCGGTGTTTAGAAGTGACAGCAGCGCAGAGCCAGGAGCGTGCCACTAAGTCACTGCTTTTGGACAAATGCCCGTATGTGACAGCTGGCACAGGTGCGTCATTGGATGAGGCAGAGCAACGGGAGCAAAGGAAAAGCGAGGGGGTTCAACAGCACAGCACTGCAGCGTTAAGCAGGAAAACTGAAAATTCAGATGTCTGCAGGAATGAAACACCTCCCCATGAGCAAAGGAGTTTTTAGTTTGTGTCTTTAATCCTGTTTTGATATAATTTTATTTTGAAGTGGTTTTACCAACACTTGTGCAACGCTCAGTTCAGCCAGGCATAACCTGCTATCTTACCTCAAAAGCATGCATAAAATATCAAACATGTTATGGATAGGAAATGGTTTTGGTGAAAGCTATATTTTTACTTAACTTGAATGCTGAGCAGGTGAAAATTAGAGTGAATGTCAGATACGAGAAAGGAAACACAATATTTCTATACTAGCTTGGTTTATGCTTAAATGCCTCTTCTAGGAGACAGGAGTCTAGGGCTGGCAATGATAGGAGATGGTCTCTGGTACTAACTTGCATCCCTTTCCTATGACGCATCACAAAAATCTGTGTTCTCAAAATATCTCTCCTCTTACAAAAGCAAAACTACTAAGAAATCCCTGGTCATCATCTTATATAAGAAAAAAACACCACATGTTCAGAAAGCCTGGGAAGACTGGAAAGGTCTCCCACAGACACCACGATGAGTTGGGGAAGCTATATAATACAGGTCCCAAATGACAGGGACCCTTCAACTGTAAAAAATAAAAAGCATGGAAGAACGTTGTCTTTCTCAAGTATTTCTTTTCCACCTCGATGAAATCATCATTGTCATGAGAATGAAGAAAGCCACACATTTTAGCATACAAGTTTACTATTCTGCTCATTTGGCCTGATCTCTTCTTTTGAAGGTGTAAAGTATTTCATAGTGTCTTTTCTCCACCAAGACCAAAGCTCTGTGTTGGGCTACAGAAGAGTTTTCACAAAAACCCTTCCAACCTCATTTGGAGACTCCACATTTTTATATTTCTTTCTGTTCCATGAGAGCCACGGCTCTGGAGATTAGAAGCAATAATACACTAACATGACTTTTTTGTAACTCAGCACAAAGTCCATCATCGTTCTACACACTTCAACTTATCTCTCTGCAAAAGCATTAAAAAGCAGCAAGTTCCTTTGTTTCCTATTTACAGCCCAAGAGCAAAATACAGTGACAGCAAGATGCTAGGGTATGAGTAGGAAGGTGAAAATGTATACACACTGCCTTGTGTCTGAAATAATCGGTACAGGGTACATCTCTGTGTTCCTTGACCTTGTAATAAATTAGCTAAGTTCAGAATTATATTTAAAACCAATGTGTATGTTTAAATAGATCAGGTAACAATTTGCATAGCTGCCTACTGCTGTCAATGTTTCTTCAAATGATTCCTTCCTATCTTTTCCTCTAGAGACTGTTAAAATGAATGATAATTTCATCGCATATATTAGCGACTGCCTGTCCTCACTGATATTTTCAGTCTGCAAGGAGAAAAAGAGTGGCACAAATAAGTGCCGTCAGAAGGAGGAAAAAAAAAAAAGAAACAAACAACACAACACTTCTGATTCTCTCTTCAACTCAACTGGATTGTGTCTTTCTTACATGGCTCCACTTGAAAAATAACACCCTGAACCTGCATCACTGTACTCAAATTCTTAGGAACAAAGGCAACATGGCACCAGATTATATCAGCAGCTGCTTCTCTTTGAAGGAAGCCAAGCTGGGTATTTCAGAGGAAGATGTAAACCACCCCAGACAGAAAATTCTGGAATAGCATACATAAAATAATTGTTTCACTTGGTTTTTATTGATTACTTTCTGATTCACTGACAAAAAGAGAACTTACAATCTGCTTTTAAGAAACCTCATGATTTGCATTCATTCTCGTGATTCAAAACAAGTGCTGATTCTCACACAGAAACCCTACTGGGTTACCTCACTGGTGGTGCCCATTACTAAAATTGAAATTCTCACACTGCCAAGAAATCAAAGACGCAGATTAGACAACAGTATTCACATTAAAACAGGACTTGAATAAGAAAAGTATGCTGATAAACATCAACCAAACTAGGCTCTGCCTTGGCCAAGCTGTACGTTGTCCTTCCAAGCACGTAACTTTCTTTCCTCTTCCATGGTTTCTGTCACAGTACAATGCTTTTTATCAGCAAAATATTCTTCAGGTCTCTTGCTCTAATTAGGACCACTGATTTGGCAGTCCTTTGACTGGAGCTAACTGCATCAGGCATGTTTTGGTGGCACACCTGAAATAATGGCTGAGACAAAGATTTCTTCAAGGATGAAAAAAGGAAAATTAATTTCTTTTAAGAATTGATACGTCTTTCAAACTTGAGCCAATAGAACATAAATTGAAGCTGTCAGCACTGTGTCAGGATGCTTGAGGGAACATAGGAACACAAAAGGGAGGTAGGCACTGGGTCAAGTGAAGCAGGCAGAGAACCCAAACACTTCCTGGACTTGGTGGAGAAAAGCTTTCCAGATGTTTCATGTTGCTCTCTCAACCACTGAACTACTTGAGAACTGCTGCAGAGCTAAAGTGGGAAATAGCATTTCCAGTTTTCTTGTTAATCGCTCCATATGCAGAGATGGCATCTTGCATATAAGTTTACCACACCAGAGTTTTTCCTACCACCCCTCAAGAGTCAGAAAGTCCAAGTTTAACTGAAACAACTAACTCATTATAGTAGGTTCCTTTTAATCAGTTACTGTTCCAACAGAAATATTATTATGCCCATACATCTTTATTCCTGAGACCTGAATCACTTGTGTTTTATATTGGACAGCCAGGATGGGAACAGCCCTGCTTTTCTAACAGCTCTACCACAGGCAGCACTAGCTGTTTGCCCTGTGTTCACAGACCTTCTGTGAACTTCACTCTTGCACTGCCATAGGGACCTCTATCCCTGCCCTTCTGGTCACCATTCTTCTTCCCACTAATAGACCACAGAGCTGGATCCGACACAAACACTCCTGTCCATCTCCAAATTCAGTGAACTTCAGTTCCCATTTTATACTGCCCTCTCCGAGTCTGAAGAAAAGTCATCCAGGACAAAGATGCTGCTGTGGAATACAGCAGAGAATAAAAAGAGTAAAAGCTATCTAAAGAAAGCCCAACAAAGAGGCTTCCTCAAGCACCCTGTCCCAAACAGGGTGGCTCAAGATGAAGAAACAGTCTTCCTTTCAGATGGCTTTCTTCCGAAGTGATGGAATACAATCACAGAATGGTTTGGGTTGGAAGGAACTTGCAAGAACTTCCTATACAGACCTCAGCCATCAATACACATGTCCATTGCCTTCAGAAATAATATTTACAAATATGAGTATCTGCAAGTGAGAAAACCTTTCCATTTCCCCTCCAACTGTAATTAGGAGTTTGTTGTATTTGTGTACAGGTTCAAATATGGATTCAGCCACCCATCTATCACATACACTGAAAAAATTGTTACAATCTCCAGTTCATAAACTATATTACATTATTTTAAAGCTAAATCCATACACCAGAGTTTATGAAGAGTTTAAAATCTCAAGGGAAGATATTAACATTGTTTATAGTGCACTTGCTTAGAAAAATCTAGGCATGACTATTTCCTCCCTAATAAAACATAAGCGTAGCTCTACTGGGTTTCAATTAACCTTTTAGTCAGGGTTTGCTTGATCTCAAAAGGAACAGAAATAATGAAGGCTTTTAAATCAGTGTTTCATGAAACTATCCAATACTTCAGACTACACCTGGGTTAACAACGATATTCTATGTAAAAAACAAAGAGTAATGACAGCAATGCTCATGTGGATTCCTGCCTGAAGGAGTGTTACAACTCCAGACCATGGAAAGGTCATTATTCACCCCTTGCTATGTAGCATGAAACACTTAACACACAGAGTGTTTAAATCATATATACCCATTGACTTATCCACAAAAGCAAGGAGCTAGCACCACTCATTTAGGTAGTTTGGATGTCAGTTGATAATATGGCTCATCCTCGTGCATCAGAACTTAGCATCTACAAATCTCTATTATTTATAGACGTTCAGACAGCAAGGTCATTGCAATGGCTGGCTATTTGCTCTTTATTGCAGGTAAAATATGGCTGGAAGAGCTCACTCTCTCATCAGAAAACTTCGTCATCCTGCTGTTGCTTTGTTCGAGATAGAGAGATAAATGAGATTCCTGAATAAATAGAATAATAGTCAAACAAAGCTCAATCACTCCCATGATACAGTAAAACTA